GAGACCGCCTCGCCGAGGCCCCCTCACCCGGGGCCTCGGAAGAAGTGCCGATTCTCTTATTCGCGCGAGGCCGGCTCGGCACCAGCCCCGTGATCGCCTCTTCGACCAAACTGCTCTGATCGAACGTCGCATCCAAGCGCCCAACCACTCCGACAGACGCATGATGGCATAGTACAGCGAAGTGACCGACTACACGCCAGTCGCGTCAACCTCCTGCCATCTGCGACGGCACAGAGCAGGGGTTACCGACCACCGTGCTGCCTAACTCCTGCACCAAGGACATCACAACGTGGGGAGTCGAACGCAGGTTCCTCAGCCTCGGAATCGGCCGGACCGACCGCTCCGTCTCGCCCGAGCCCCTCGACAGGGCCTCGGATTCACTGATCTTACTCCGCCTCGCCCGTCAGCCGCCCGAGACCCCCCGGTAGGGCCTCGGACGAATTGGCCACGCTCCGCCTCGCCCGAGGCCGGGCTCGTCCCGCAACCTCGTCGCCTCCGCCTCAAAGGTCTCTCTGGCAGGCTATCGCATCCGATTAATGCGCTCAGCTGCACCCGCTACGTAAGCCACGATCGGCGGTCTTGCATAATGCAACAGAGCGACGGACAACGGTCGATCACCTTTTTACCATCCCTCATCGACAATACAGTACCAGTATCCTGTAGGCGCACGTCTCGCGCACTATTCCGCTTTGATGGCCTGCCGAGACCGCATACTCGCACTGGTCACTTCTCGGCCTCGGCACGGCGCAGCTCGCCACAACAGCCTCGGCTCGAGCCTCGACACGGCCACGCTGATGGCCGCCGAGCCTCTGCAATCCACCAAGCCAACAAATGCGCGAAATATTACTTGCAATGGAGACCATACCGATTAGACATCTCACAGAACTCCCACGACAACGCCATGCTTTGCTCCGGGAGTAAATACGTCATCGAATAGTCCGCTCCACGTGTAGCTCTCTTATGTACTCTGGTTTCCTCCTGCGGCTATAAAAGGAGGCGGCCAGACCGTTTCTAGGGACGGCGGATAGAGTCACGAATACTGCATAACAACAACACGCCTCATTCCGTAATTCATATCACCTCCCTCACAGAGACACAGGGCGAACTCCCTCTCTCGCCTAGCTTGTAACCCCCTACTACGAGCACCCCGGTGCAAGGAATACAAGAACATCTTCTCAGACTGGACGTAGGGCAGGCATTGCCCGAACCAGTATAAACCTTGTGTCTCTTTGCATCACCATCCGGAATTGGGAGCACGCAACACAAATTCACTAGTCGGTTAAGGACCCCCGGTTCCGAAACACCGACAACATGATCCAAAGCATGATGACGAACAATATTACCAATTATATTATATTGCACACAAGACAGATCTAGAGTCTTCCATATATAAATAATATAGAAGCACATATTTTTATTTCAGTAGCGCCGAATTCATAAGAATTGTTTGATGTTATGGGCTAGTCTGCGTCTCTCCTGCAGAATTCAAGCTGGTTGGGTTTGCCATCCTCTTCCATCTTGCCATTTTTTCCATTCCCTAACAATACGTATAAGAGAAACAAAGTTCAGTGAAGATTATTACTGCATTTCTTAGTAATGCTAGGTTCAAGTTGGTGTCGGTGTTTCGAATCACCGGCTAATAAATTTCTAGTTTGCGCGTCTGACCCGGATGGCTGTGCTCGGAGGACACAATGATTTATACTGGTTCGGTCGGAACGCCTCTACGTTCAGTCTGCTGCTGCTCGTATTACCGGCACTTGATTTATAGTAGAGGTTACAAACAGACGAGAGAGGGACAATGTCCCAAGTCTCTGGTGAAAAGAGTGAGTCTGGTTGAGCTCTCTGTCTACTGTCAAGTGCCTAAGCCTTCAGCCGCTCAGATGTGTTAGATGTGTGGAAATGTCCCTCTCTCCGTGGGGTGTCCTGCTTCCCCTTTTATAGATGAAGGGAAAGATGTAGGTTACATCGGAGGGAGAGAGAGACATGGAGAGGAAGGCTTCCGGGGTTGCAACGTCTTCCATCTCCTTTACGCGGGTCCCGTCGGCCCTTTAGATGACGACGGGGACGGCTCCACGTCGTGACCCTGTTCGTCACTGACCCTGTTCCCAGCGGACGATATGGCTCGCTGACGCCTCCGCTGGAGGCCGTACGGGGAGTAGGTAGTACAGCGCCGGCACACCCGATGCTGTTGGCGACATGCGTCCTCAGACGTGGCCCGTCGTGGCCGCGGGTCACATCAAGACGTGTCTGTTCCCCTTCTAGCGTCAGAAGTTTGACCCTGGACTCGTACTTTTAGACCCGTGGTGGTTGGGGGCGGTACGGACCTCCATCGGGCGGCGCCCTCGGGGTCGGGCGAGGAGAAGCCCGTACCCTCGGGGTCGGGCGAGGCGGAGCCAGCGCTCTCGGGATCGGGCGAGGCGGAGTCCGCGTCCTCGGGGTCGGACGTGACGGGGCTCTCGCCCGAGGGGTCGGGCATGACGGGGCTCTCGCGGAGCCTGCGCCCTTGATGTCGGGTGACCCGGATCCCTTATCCTTGAGGTCGGGCGAGACGAAGCCCGTGCCCTTGGGGCCGGGGGAGACCAAGATACACTCTTAACCATCCGAGGGAGTTAGCGTTCGCGACCATTAACTTCTTTCTTCCGGTATCCCTGATACTGATACCTGACAGTTGGGCAATTGAATTACAGTAGTACGTAGTACCTTTCGTGATTGGACTGCCACCTCGTTGTCTTGGATGCTGTTCATGACGAACCCCAAGGGATTCAGCACCTCCTCGTAGCTGCAATGCATGCATACACACATTAAAACAATTTCGTAGGATTATATATTACTTTACTGTTTGCAGCCATGAAATACAGAAGTATAAGTATATATACACTAGACAGATAACAGCATCTTACTCGACCACTGCTGTGTTGAATGGTGGCCCAGCTTCCTGTCCTTCAGCCTGCCATGCATATGCATTGACGTGTATATATATGAACAGATCCCAGCACATACGTATATCATGTTTGATCAGTGGTTATTTATATGTATGTTATTATTATACCAGGTACATGAGGGTAATAAGCTCTCCATCTTGTTTGAGCAGCTCGGCAATTCTCTTGGCCCATGCTGGCCTCATCGACGGCTCGAAAGCACAGAAGAATCTGACAAAGCAATGCAAACCAACACAAGAAATCGTCTCGTTTAATTTCGCCATGAATTGCATGAAATGAATTATTATCAATGAACAGAAGAAAATCACCACGCACGTACGTGTAGTCGAAGATGATGTCAAACTTGTCCGGCGGCTCCCAGGTGAAGAAATCGGCAGCGACGAAGTCGAACGAGTTCCCGTCGGCCGCCGCCGCCCGCTGGTACACACAGAATCATATCATGCATACCGAATACAATTTGATGAATTCAGAAGCACAACACGGCCCGGCGCAGTGCCGAAAATGGCGCACGGCGGCGTACCTGTGTGGCCTTGTGAATGGCGGCCTCGGAGATGTCGAGGCCAACGACGAAGCGGCCGGCGCCGGAGAGCGCGACCACGTCGTGCCCCTGCACCCACAACACGATATCGATCGATGCATGTGTGAGATGGTGATCGAGATCAGCATGCATGGTGACCATGCTGTGCAGTGTGCACTCACAGCGCCGCATCCCGGGACGAGGACGGTGGTGGCGCGGCCGTCGTGATCGCCGCCGGGCAGGGTGCCTGAGTTGACGAGGTCGACGACGGCGGGCGTGGGCTGGCCCAGGTCCCACGGTGTCACGCCTTCCTCCCAGCACCGTCTCCACCCGTCTGCACCGACCGTGAATCGATCGATCAATGGTTTATTGCATCCATGTACAACCGATGATGACATTGCTTCGTTCGGCCGGCTGGGGCCAGGCTGGCCAGCGCACTCACAAGGTCACTGTTTACGTGAACAGTGTTTCCAGACAAAATAATATTTTTCTCACAACCATCAGTCTCAACAGTATTTTCACGTGAACAGTCTCAATGTCTCATTCTCAATCCTCGATTCTCGATTGATTCATCGTCTCACACTCACCGGCCACCACCACGTACACTGTACACACACACTACCACAGTCCTCATCTCCTGTCTGTGTGGCTAATAATGGGAGAAACAGCAGCAACACCCGGAAACCAGGCTCTGCGTTGCTTGCCTCTCTTCGTCACAACCATACACCGCGAGAAGCCGACAATAATAATTGAGCGAGTGCGAAAGTAGTGACCACACATCTCACTCTTGATCTTGGGCGGGGTCTGAGGAAATGTGTGTGACGAGCTTTATCCTTACCTATGCAATACGAGGAGACCACGACTCGAACCCGGGACCTTTCGGTCATAGACGATAAGACTCTACCGCTTTTGCACCGGTCCCTCTGTTCCAAATTATAAAATCGTTTTATCTTTTTTAGATTTATAATGTTTACTATGTATGTAGACATAGTGTATATCTAAGCTTAAACTTACTTATAATTTGGAATTTAGAGAGTGTAATATTGCACTCTGTTGTGCGCTCGAGAAAAAAACTCGATGAGTGGTTGAGATACACGACCACACCTCTCACTCCAACTGGTTGAGCTAGGTTTATTTCTTTGTTCCATCGACTTGTATGTAAACAGTTTCTACCGACTACTGCTACCTAAAGCGCATCTTTTTGCCTATAACGGACTTAACTGTAAGGTGAGAGCCCGAGCCATGTCTGTCTCCCCTTGCGGCCTCACAAACAGAATTTATTTTTTCTTCGTTCCTATATATTTTAAATTCCGCATCTGACTTGTATGATTTTTTTACCATAATAAAATAAAGTAAAAAACTAGCTGTACAATAAAGTCATTCCAATCATGTAACTGCAATATCGTGTTATAAGATCAAATGTTTTTTTTTTAATAAAACAAAACAAAACTTGTTGTACAGAATAAAGTAACAATTTTACTTTGGCATACACTATGTGCCACTATACATGTAAAGTCTGCAAGTGATATGCTCATCTTTGACATCTAAATCTGCATATGAACATCTAACTCTGTATCTCGCATCACAACAACGAGCTCTGCAAGCATCTGATAGATGGATGCGGAGTCTGGATGAGACGTGTCTCTTGCAACAAAGGTGCTGACCTCGTCCTTGACCTCGATCCAGCTCCAACCGGCATCCTTCTTCACCCCAATTTCATCCATCCTCCGACGCACCCTCTCGGCATCCTGCCATTCTTCGTGCATCGCGTACAGGTTTGACATCAGCACGTAGCTCGCGGAGTCTCTTTCTGAAAGCTCCATCAGCTTGTCTGCTGCGAGCTTCCCAATGTCAAGATTCCTGTGCAGCTTGCACGATGCTAATAGTGTCTTCCAGATCAAAACATCAGGCTCAAATGGCATATTCTCGATCAGGCGTAGCGCTTCATCGAATCTGCCATTTCGACCCAGCATGTCGATCATGCATGCATAGTGAGAAGGGGTCGGTGTGAGACCATATTGATGAGTCATTAGTCTGAAGAATGTCTCCCCTTCCTTTACCAGGCCTGCATGATTGCACCCTACCAGGACTGCCAGAAATGTTGAATCGTCTGGCTGCCAACCACTTGAACACATCTCACTGAATGCCTCCATTACCAAGTTTGCGTCTCCATGCTGTGCGAGGCCATGAATCAGTGAGTTCCAAGACATGACATCACGAAGATTCATGACATCAAATGCAAGCCTTGCAGATCCAATTTGACCACACTTGGAATACATGTTAATTAGTGCATTCCCAGTACAAACTTTGAAGTCACACCCCAGTTTCAATGCCAGGCAATGAAGATGCCTTCCTTGATCCAGCAATGCCAAGTCTGCACAAGAACTCAGACCACTAGAGAAGGCATAGTCATTCGGAGTAAAACCTTCCGAATGCATCTGAAGAAGCAATGCTACGGCCTTCTCACTGAAACCATTCTGGAAGTTCGCAGAAATGGCAGCTGTCCAGCTAACAAGATCAGGATTTTCAATCTTGCCAAGCACAGCCTCGACTTCTGAAACAAAACCACTCCTACCATACATAGAGAGTAGAGCATTTGATACTCGGATGTCAGTCATTAGGTTGCGCTTGATGGCCGAGCAGTGAATTTGACGCCCCAGACAAACAGACCCACAAGCCCTGAGAGCAATTGAAAATGCAAACTCATTTGGTTCAACGCCCTCTGAAATCATCTCGCTGAACACTCGCAGTGCATCTTCCAACCTTCCATCCCTAATGCACAGCTGCATCATGGAGCACCACGACACCACGTTCTTGGAGTCGAGATTTTCAAACACTGTCTTCGCCATGTCAAACTCACCGTGCCTCGAATAGAAGTCAATCAGTGCAGTCGATGCATAGACGCTCTGTGAACCCATTACCTTGAGCATATATCCATGTATCTGCCCGCCAATCACACGAGGGCACTCCACCAGCATGCTCGTCATCGTGTGCTCGTTCGGCTGCAACCCCTGCCTCATCATCTGACAGAGCACCTCCACGGCCCGTTCGAGCTCTCCGTTCCTGCAGAGCGCCGAGACGAGCGAAGTGTACCCCACGACGTCCGGCGCCTCCATCCAGCGAAACACCTCTTCGGCCGCCCGCAGGGAGCCGCACCTGGAGTAGAGCTCGATGAGGCAGCTCCCGATCCATGCGTCGGTGGCGAAGCCCGCCCGCACGGAGAGCGAGTGCACCTGCGCGCCGAGGCCGAGAGCGCCGGCGCCCGCGGCCGCGCACGCCGCCAGCGCCGCGTTGCACGCGAAGTCGTTGGGCGCGACGCCGGACTCCAGCATGTCCGCGAACATGGCGGCGCCCGCCTCGGGCCGCCCGTTCCGCGTGCACCCGGAGATGGCCGTGGTCCACGCGACGACGTTCTTGCGAGGCATCCGGTCGAACAGGTCCAGGGCGTCCCCTAGCCTCCCGGACTTCATCAGCCCGTCCAACCGTTTGCAGTCGAGGACGACGTCAGGCGGCGGCGCAGAGTGGCGTACAATGGCCGCCGCCGCTGCCGGGGGCGGACGGGCATGGCTCGGTGGCGCGGGGAGGAGACGAGGCGTGGGTTGCTTGGCGTGGAGCGAGACCATTTCCCGCAGCTGCGGCAGAGCGGGACTGAGGGAGGCCGGGAAAGGATAAGCTGGGTGATGCAACTCACTCGTGCAGGGGCCCTTGTGTCAGTGCGCTGGGGAGACCTCCGCTTCCGCTCGGCACCACCGCACCGGCGTCTCTCTTCTCAGATGCCGCTTCCACGGCCCCTCCACCTCGCTCTCCGCCCGTCGTCCTCCTCCCTCAGTGTGGCGGCAACGCGCTCGACCAACGGCGGCTCCCACGCATCATCACGCAAGGCCGGCGGAGCCTGCGCGTCCGGCAGCGGTGGCGCTCGCGCGCCAAGCAGAACGCAGTACCCGGCCCCCAGCATGGCCTCAGGCCGGCGGCGTTACCAATGGCCAAGCGGCCGAGCAACACCATCCGCAATAGCCGTCCATCAATAGGATAAGGCTATCTCTAACGAAGACAACCAAACTACTGTACCCATTCAACGGTACAGGTCAGCTACAGTGAAAAGTAGCGGACCCAAAAGTTTGCCTTCTCCGACAGACCCCGAGCAACACACCACCGCCCCCGCTTCCTTTCCCTCGCCGGCGCGGCGGCCACGCTGCTCACGCTCGCCAGGCGCCCGCGGGTTCTACCTCCCAGGGAGCTACCCGCATAAGTACAACCCCGGCGACTACCTCAACGTAGATCCGGACGGGGGGCGCCGCGGCTGCTCCGGTGCTGGTGCCGGTGCCGGTGGCAGTGAGGGCGCGGGGCTTGAAGCGGAGGAAGGAGGAGCGGCGGGCGGCGTGGCGAAGAGGAAGAGGACGAGGACGTGCGGGCCTCCGTGCGGGCACGGCTCGGGCTCGTCGGTGGAGGAGGAGCTACCCCCGGAGCCCGAGGAGGACTCCCACTTGCGCCGCTCCTGGAGGCGCCGGTGCGGCGGCGGGGTGGACGGAGCTCACGCCGAAGCCTCCCTCAACTCCCCCTCTCTGCTATGCTTTTGCGTCGTCGAGAGAGCCGACTCATTTTTGCCTTCCGATTCATCAGGTACCCAAAATGCCTGCTTTGGATGCGTCCTCTGGAGCACGTTTTTGGGACGCAAAATACTGTAGACAACGTATTTTGCGTTTGGGTGACCGTTTGCCTGCGCCGTTGGAGACAGTCTAAGTGTGTGAACTTTGCTTAAAGATCCATTTTTTCTATGAATTGTATTATACTAGGTAGCGTGTCCGTGCGTTGCTACGGGATAACTAACAATTTATACTAAAAACACACGGATCGTACGATAAGATAACAATACTATAAAAATTAAATACCAACGTTAAAATGACATTTAATCCAAAAAAACAAAGTTTATGAATTTAACACAGTCACGGAGTGCGCGGCGTCGCAGGCTCACAAACTCTACTTTATAGATCTTTTCGTGATGTGGCTAAGATAATGTTTTATATTGGCAGGAAAAAATCTCCGATATCCATTTTTTTCATTGTAATTCATTTATTTGAACAATGTTTGAGGTGAGGGCACGGTTATAGTTTTTAGTAGCTTTGCGATATTGTCCGAAGCTATGAGATGATTGATGTCTTGCAATGATTCTTTCATTAATTTAGTTTTCTATCTATGTTTAATTGTTTATTCAGTTTATTTTATAGGCACGCCGGTAGATAATGGATGATAAAATTCAAGCATCCATAATTTATCTCTTTGACTTTGAGCATGAGTTTTATTTTTATTTTTTAATTGATATATTGTTCTTTTGTTTTTACTGTAGCGTTAGCACGGGCATACATAAAAAACGAAGATGTCTTTACTTTACACTGTAGAAATCTTTCAAGAAGATCATGCATAGATTATTCTTGTATTTAATATTATATATATACAATCACCTAAATATTCTAATTAAACTATAAAATTTTGAATTAGGATACGAGTTAAAACATGCAAACAGATATTTCAAAACTACCTGTAGAGTCTAAAGAACTTAATAAATAAATTTTTCTGGAGGCAATGCAAATTCTCTCTAATATTTCATTTTGGTGTAGTTAGTGTTATAATAGTACCCGCATGTATTCGTGGGAAATAAATCATGGACAAAACGTGGATATTTTTTGGTGCAACATTCCAACATGGGTCCATCGTCCTGCCAATATTTTTGAGGCATATCACATAGAGGATGAGAGTCCATCTATGAGATTGCTCACAAGAGACTCAAACTTATATCTAATCATGGTAATGTAGAATTGCTTTGCATCAAAAGCATCGACAATGATAAATGAGGACATATGTTTTAGTATGCATAGTGGAGGAAAACTCAACATTAGACTTCTGAGCAGCTTTTTTGAGCCTTTACAGTGCTAACTTGTCCTTACTTAGATAGTCAAGAGGTGCACCATAAAATTATGCACCACTAAAAAAAATATCACCATTGGTTGCCTTCACCTGAAAAATGTGTCGAAATTAAGAATTACAACACCTAATTCAACATCTTGGAACAGACACTCAAGTGGATACCTTATTCTACAATATATGTCTGTGTGGAATAGTCCTAAAGCCACATATATTTATACGGTGAGTATAACATACTTTGTTTTAAAATTTTATGAGATTTTTTAAGACACGCAGTATTATTCATGTGACATGCACTAATATTTATATATATACTCGAACCTGTGTATACAAGATTATATGAAGATGCAGCGGAACTTATTCATGGATTTATTGGCGCATGAAAGAAATGGATATCGGAGAATTCTTTTTGCCAATATAAAATATTATCTTAGCCATATCATGAAAAAGTCTATACAATAGAGTTTGTGAGCCTGCGACGTCGCGCTCTCCGTGACTATGTTAATTTCACGAACTTTGCTTTTTAAATTAAATGCCAATTTAACATCGGTATTTAATTTAACAGTATTGTTATCTTATCGTGCGATCCGTGTGTTTTTAGTACAAAAGATTTAGTTGTCCCGTAGCAACGCACGAGCGCGCTACCTAGTTGAATATAAAAGAAGAGAACTGACTGCATTCGTACATATAATGTACATCAGTTAAGGTTTTGTTTGAATTAATTCAGTTTGTGAACTAATAGTAATAACTAAATGTGGCATATATCGAATTCTTTTAGCCACTGCTTGTGTGCAGAAGCGAAAAACATCCCAACTGCGCTTGCCCTAATATGAGTATTTGAAGTAATAAACCTTTGAAGAACATCAACGTACCTCCCTTTCAGAGATTGGGTCGAATCTAACCTAGAGCCTCGGAACCCTGCATCTTTTTTTAGACGGGCTTTACTTCGGATGCGCCGGTAGCAATATCAACGATCTCCAATCGATGGACCAAGTCTTATGGATCCCCATATAATGGCTCAGACATGTAGATTTTGTTCTCCTTATACTTGGATACACTTGTTCCATTGAAGCTTTCATTGAAATGTTTAGACACGAATAGTGTCTGATCATCGATGTCCCTCACCCTAGATCACTCCCACGTACGGTCGTGGAGGTTGCACATGTAGATCACGCTATTGTAGGTGAAACTCTGTGTCTCGTGAAACGTGCTCACCATGGCACCCACAATGTGTAGCTTACCGTTTGATTTCAGGTAGCTGCGGTGGCAGAGCCCCATAGGTGGCGACAGCGATGGCAGCAGCGTCGCGGTTGGAATAGCACCGGCGGTGTTGCGGCTGCAAACGGAGATTTCTACAGTGCAGTCGATCGCCAAGAACTTGTCTTGGCAGTGGACGATGGACCCCACGGTGAAAGCTCTAGTTTGGTTTTGGTGAATTGATAAAGCCCTAAGTGCTAACCTAGTTTATTAAGTGATCATGAGATAGGTAGCACACCCCAAGTGGTGAAGCAAATGAAGATCATAGCATGATAAAGATGATGGCATGGTGATGATCAAGTGCTTCAACTTGGAAAGAAGAAAGAGAAAAACAAAAAGCTCAAGGTAAAGGTACAATGTGAAAGAGCTATTTTGTTTTGGTGATCAAGACACTTAGAAAGTGTGGTCACATTTAGGATTGATAGCCGTACTATTAAAAGGGGTGAACCTTGTATCGAAATGCGGTTATCAAAGTGCCACTAGATGTTCTAACTCATTGCATATGCATTTAGGATCTCGTGGAGTGCTAACACCCTTGAAAATGTTTGTGAAAATATGCTAACACATGTGCACAAGGTGATACACTTGGTGGTTGGCACATTTGAACAAGGGTGAAGAAGTTTGAGGTGAAATGGAGTTGGTCGCAATGATGCTGGCGTCGGTCTTCTGACCGGACGCTGGGTCACTCAGCGACCGGACGCTGAAAGGCTGCGTCTGGTCGTGCTGTCAAACGGTGCAGTGATTAGGTTAAGCACCGGACGCTGGGCTGTGTCCGATCAAGCGTGACCGGACGCGTCCGGTCGGCAAAAACAGGATTTGGATCCTTACTAGAAATGACCGGACGTTGATGTCTAGCGTCCGGTCAATTTCTAACTGACGCTCCTGTCAGCAGACGACCGTTGAAATCTGACGAACAGTATTTGAAGGAGGGGACACGTGGCGTGAATCACGTGACCGGACGCTGAGGGCCAGCGTCTGGTCGATCGGACCGGAGTGTCCGGTCACCCCGCGTTGTGCCCAGTGAAGGGGTACAACGGCTCTATTTCGTGGGGGCTTCTATTTAAGCCTCATGACCGGCTCAAGCTCACTCTCTTGGCCATTTGCATTGACATAGCAACCTTGTGAGCTTAGCCAAAGCCTTCCCACTTATTTCCATCATAAATTAAATATCTTTGTGAGATTGAGAGAGAATCCAAGTGCATTGCTTGAGTATTTGCATCTAGAGGCACTTGGTGTTCATGTTTCGCTGCGGATTTCACTTGTTACTCTTGGTGGTTGCCGCCACCTAGACGGCTTGGAACAGCGAGGATCGTTGAGCGGAGGGTGGTGATTGTCTCCGGCTCCGATCGTAATGACTGTGAGGGGTTCTTGATCTTTCCCCGGCGGAGCACCAAAAGATACTCTAGTGGATTGCTTGTGGCTTGTGTGATCTTCATCTTGTGTTGGTTGTGCGGCACCCTATTGAGGGTTTGGCGTATGAGGCCAATTAGCGCGTGAACCTCCAAGTGAGTGTATCGCCACAACGAGGACTAGCTTGTCGGCAAGCAAGTGAACCTCGGTAAAAAATCATTGTGTTCATCATATTGATTCCGAGGTGAATGGTCTTTATTGTTATTCATTCTTGTGATTGATTGGCTCTTTCATCTACACGACGGTATAACTTTCTTGATCACTCTCTTTACATTACCGCAAACTAGTTGTCAAGCTCTTTAGTGTAGCTAGTTATGAGAGCTTGCTTGCTTGGTTGGTGTGGCTCTTTAGTTAGCCTTTGAGAGCACACTAACATATGGTAGTGTCATAGCTATTGTGTGAATAGATATTATCTAAACTAGAATTATGGTAGGTGGCTTATATTTTTAGTAGGCTAGAGCAACACTTGCTTCATCTCATAATTGTCTAATAGATTTGTTAAGTATTGTTGTAGAAATTTTTATTAGGCTATTCACCCCCTCTCTAGCCATTATGACCTTTCACACGGAGAACTCCAGTTTGGTGTCGAGCAGTGTCCATGCGCTGTCGACTCAAACTCGGCAGAACGCGACCTCCGTGGAGCACCCAAGCATGGCCATGGCCACGTACTAGCGGCCGACGACGTCAGGCGGCGCCGAGAGCACGATCTCATGGAAGAACATGTCCCTCATGTCTTCGATGGCTCTGCCTGCGGCATCCGCGTCCCCATAGTCGTTGGTGGGATGGAGGACCCATCGGCCGTAGACCCTAGACACGCGTTCCGATGCGGACGCTGCCGCGACGTGTTCGCCTGCTGGCGGGAGCTCAACGCGGGGGGCACGGGCACCCGCGAATGGATTCAGCAGTGTCACGGACGCCGCCTCATCCATGAGCGCCAACCACCCACACGAGGAGCCGCACGCCACCTTGCCGCGCACGTCGGGCAGCATCTTGGACAAGACCTTCTTCTCCGAGACGTAGTAGAAGCCGACGCGGTCCGAGTCGGGGTCGAACGGGAGCAGCAGGAGCGGCCCGAAGGTCGCGAACGGGACGGCGGCGCGCCGTGGGGAGCAAGCGGATCGAAAGGACGCCGCGTCGTGACCTGACGCGAGACGCTGCCCGATGGACTCGAGGAGATCCTCTGGCTGTCCAGATCTCAAGTCAAGGAGAGGTAGGGACCTTCTCTTGGGATTGGGAGGCTGAGCCATGGAAGACAGATGACATCAACTATGGTTCACGCAAGAAATGATGTCTGGTGTCTACTGTCACGATGAGCCATGGATTGGCGAACGGGGATATGGGGAAATGATTCAAAATGAACAGACCTAAGGACAATTTCAGCAAGAAACAACAAGCGAGGGCAATAGAACACGTGAGTGTGAAACCAAATAAAAGAAGAAAAAAGCTATTCCTTTTACAAATGCAAAGAGGGAAAATAATTAAATGAAGGCAGATTTGACAAGGTTCTCAGAAATGCAAAGAGGTTCCTTTTGTCTTAATTCTCTTTCCTTCTGTGTTAATTCTCTTTCCTTTTGCGCGTTGCCATGTATGTTGGTGCATGCAAACATGCAATGTGTATATGGATAGCAAATAATTTTCTACTTCCTATTTTGCCGTGATTCCTCCATCACATGACAGACAATATTCAATCAAGGAGAATGAGGCTTACATTTTTAGTAGGCTAGAGCAACACTTGCTTCGTCTCATAATTGTCTAACCGGTTTGTTAAGTGTTGTTGTAGAAATTTTTATTAGGCTATTCACCCCCCTCTAGCCATTAGGACCTTTCACACGGAGAACTCCAGTTTGGTGTTAAGCAGCGTCCATGCGCTGTCGACTTAAACTCGGCAGAACGCGACCTCCGTGGAGCACCCAAGCATGGCCATGGCCACATACTAGCGGCCGACGACGTCAGGCGGCGCCGAGAGCACGATCTCATGGAAGAACACGTCCCTCATGTCTTCTAGGTTGATGGCTTTGCCTGCGGCATCCGCGTCCCCGTAGTCGTTGGTGGGATGGAGGACCCACTGGTCGTAGACCCTAGACACGCGTTCCGATGAGGACGCTGCCGCGACGTGTTCGCCTGCTGGTGGGAGCTCAACGCGGGGGGCACGGGGCACCGGCGAATGGATTCAGCAGCGTCACGGACGCCGCCTCGTCCATGAGCGCCAACCACCCACACGAGGAGCCGCACGCCACCTTGCCGCGCACGTCGGGCAGCATCTTGGACAAGACCTTCTTCTCCGGGACGCAGTAGAAGCCGACGCGGTCCGAGTCGGGGTCGAACGGGAGCAGCAGGAGCGGCCCGAAGGTCGCGAACGGGACAACGGCGCGCCATGGGGAGCAAGTGGATCGGAAGGACGCCGCGTCGTGACCTGACGCGAGACGCTACTCGATGGACTCGGGGAGATCCTCTGGCTGTTCGGATCTCAAGTCAAGGAGAGGTAGGGACCTTCTTTTGGGATTGGGAGGCTGAGCCATGGAAGACAGATGACATCAACTATGGTTCACGCAAGAAATGATGTCTGGTGTCTACTGTCGCGATGAGCCATGGATTGGGGAACGGGGATATGGGGAAATGATTCAAAATGAACAGACCCAAGGACAATTTCAGCAAGAAACAACAAGCGAGGGCGATAGAACACGTGAGTGTGAAACCAAATGAAAGAAGAAAAAAGCTATCCCTTTTACAAATGCAAAGAGAGAAAGTAATTAAATGAAGGCAGATTTGACAAGGTTCTCAGAAATGCAAAGAGATTCCTTTTGTCTTAATTCTCTTTCCTTCTGTGTTAATTCTCTTTCCTTTTGCGCGTTGCCATGTATGTTGGTGCATGCAAACATGCAATGTGTATATGGATAGCAAATAATTTTCTACTTCCTATTTTGCCGTGATTCCTCCATCACATGACAAACAATATTCAATCAAGGAGAATGACACGATCAATCAGCATGCGGGAGATGTCGTGAGATCGCATACGTGGGCAGACGGACGAACCAAAACAAATGTCGCACCAAATAATATTCACTCTTTGTTTTTTTGGTTGGAGGAGATGATCCGCAATAGCCCTGTGTTGGGCTGGGCCGCTGGGCTCCATTCTATTATTGGGCCCGGCAGCGCGAGACACCAAAGTACGGCAGCAGCCTTTTGAGCAGAAGGCTCCGCTCCCCACGAATTCAAAATCAATGGTGGGTGGGCTCAGTTTCTCAGCCACAGACGCTGCATTTCTCCAGCGCAGAACGGGGCGGGAAGACGAAAACCCCAACGCCGCCGCCTGCCGGAGTGGAAAGGGATAAACCCGCCGAAATCGCATCCCACCCCACCCCACCCATCCGATTTCGATTCGATTCGCCGTTGGTGCCCGCAGCGGAGGGGATGGCGAGCTCCTACTCCTTCCCGCTGTTCGAGCCGGCGGAGATCGAGGCGGCGCTGCACAGCTACGGCATCGCGCCCAGCACTAGCCTCTGCGCCGAGGGCATCGTCCACCCTCAGCCCGGCTTCGTCGCCGAGGTCCTCTATCTCTTCCTCCTCAACTTCGTCGGGTACGCCCCCGCCGCTCCCCTCGCCCCGAGCTGTCCCGTCTCACCTGGATCCGGCCTCATCTCTGCGTTTGCTTGCTTTGGGGGGCATTTTGCTTGTTGCAGCGACGAGCCCGACGAGCAGCTACAGTTCCAGGCGCTGCAGGTGCTCGACAACCCGGAGCACCACATAGGGGCCCTACGGTTGTCGCGGATCTACAAGAGGGCCAACGCCTTCCTCCAGTCCATCCAGTTCCGAGACCTCAATCTCCGCGACCTCCTCCGCGCCGACGGCCCCCGTGTCGTCCTCATCCTCAGCGCCCTCATCAACTTCCTCCTCTTCAGGCGGGAGAAGCTCGCCTTGCTTGAGCCCATCGTCCAAGAGTACGGCGCGCTTGACAAACGGCAGAGGGAGCTCAGGGCTAAGATCGACGAGGTCGCGTTCCCATCCTCCTCCTTTACATTTTTCTGCCTTCTGTCCGGGGAAATACTTAGGTTTTCTCTCCCTGTGTGTGTTTGCTTTTCGGCGTTTTGTTCCCTTCCATTTTCCACCTTATACAGCTTAGCAAGGCGAAAGAGGACCATCTGCTTAAGGAGCAGGTGGAGGCACCCATGGTCCAGCAGCTCGAGAAGGAGGTCAATGCCCTCAAGCAGAGGCTTCATGATTACAACAGAGAGCAGCTGTCGCTGCGCGTTGCATCAAAAGCCTTGGACGAAAAGAGAGAGGAGACACTGAGGAAGGTGCTGATTCCTGTCTTGCGTTGCATTTTTCCTTCCTTTTGAATAGAATGGTACTTGGAGCTTTTCCTTGGTATGTTTTTATTCTTGTGTTCTGTGTGATCCATGCAAAACAGAGGTTTACAATGTGGACTTTTGTTACATATGTCAACTTTGAACCTCCTGCATATTATGGCTGCTGTCAATAATCTTGGCACTACTACCTTGCTGCCTTAAGCTACAACACCGAGTAGATTTCTTATTTGGCGTATTGCTGATACCTTCTGTCAATATATTGTTATCCATGAAAACTAAGAGGTATGTATAATCTGGTTGTTGCTCAAGTGTCCACCATGTTATGCTACCAGCATATGAAAAGAGCACGTTTCCCATGCATGTATCAAGCATGTTATATTTGAGAATGTGCCTACAGCATGGACACTATTGGAATTTGGAAGTAGTATGAGCTAACATTGAAATTAGTTGAAAAGTCATATGCTCAAGAATTCTGTTCAATGCCAACAAGATAACAAATTGTATTGAAGTCAGTAGGTTTTGTTTAACTCCGCCTATGTTGTCTCAACATAGCAGGTCCCAAGCCCTGGTAAAGGAGGAGGGTTGTGATAGGCGTGGCGAGCCAACGTTAAATCTAGCCATTCTAATGGAGATGAAACCCGAAAGAAAATCGTTGGGGCGTAACCCTCTTAGCGACGCGCCATATCGGAACCCGGGTATGGTGTTAAATGGGCAAGGGCCGGGTCGGCACCCCCTTGGTGACGCGCCGTGTCGTGATCTGGGCATGGTGTCAAGTGAGCAAGGATCGGGTCGTCGCTTCCTTAGTGGCGCGCTACATCGGCGCCCGGGTGTAGTGAAAAATGAGCAAGGGTCTTCACATCTGAGTCGACGGGTGCGAAGGGTAAGGGAGCTAGTCGAACCAACTAGGATCCGTTTAGGTAGTTGGAATGTAGGGTCGCTTACATGTAAGTTAAGAGAATTAGTTGATACCGCGACTAGGAGGCGTGTAAATATATTATGCGTTCAAAAGACTAAATGGAAGGGTCAGAAGGCGAAGGAGGTGGACAATACAAGTTTCAAGCTTTGATACACAGGGACAGTCGCGAATAGAAATGGAGTAGGAGTTTTGATTGATAAGAGCCTCAAGAATGGTGTGGTGAGAGTGAGCCACCTTCTGTATGTTATAGGTGCTCCAGGCCAAATCAGTCTTCAAGCACTGGAAGTATGCTTGTTTAAGAAAGCGATCTTTTAGCATAACTGGAAGACATTTAGTTATTTAATCAGCCACTGAATGCTGACATTTTTTTCTTCCTAACTAATAATTGTTATTAGCATCGGCTTTGCTTTGTATATATGGACATTGACCTGCAGAACTGCTCTTGTTAAGTTAAACTGGATTTTTTTACTCTATTCAAAGCAATACATCATAATATTACATTCGCTGCTTGTATTCTTTTTTCCTGGCAGATCAACCAGGCTGATTTTGAGTTGGTGAAGGTTATGCAAGAAAAGAAAAAGCTATCAGCCAAAATTGTTCGTTCCCCTGAAAAGCTCCAGGTAGGCTGTATGTTGTTTGTTTTAAACTGCTACAGGCATAAAGTTCATCAGGAATTGAATGTGTTGGAATGCCTAAGCTAAAAAGGCTGAAAGCCATTCATACAAACAACTCTGTAGGTTCTGGAATTACTTTCCATGGTAGAACACAGAACAGCAAGCCATAGTTTTCCTAACTGTCTTACTCAATGCAACTAGGACTAGCAAGTATGCTGTCATCCCTTCAACTGTCGGAATGACTTTATCTCTTAACAGTTCAGCATAACTATGAATGAATTATTCACTCAACATATCATTGCAATTGTCACTGGGTGCTCTATCTAAGATTGCGTTCTTTTTAAAAAAGTGTCCATTTTCCCCAGAATCATTAGTGCTTGCTTCTTTATGTGCTATGAGTGTATTTTTTTATGTGCTTACATTGTCAATTTTCTTCGATCAGAATTATGAGCTTCAATCAGATAATCATCATCTTGTGCTAGCTTCCATAATAACTATGGATTTTATTTTCTATATTAAAGAGGAACCTTGAGGAGAAGAAAGCAGTCCGTGATGAGTTAAAGAACTTAGAGAAGATGGCAATGCAGAAAGTCCAAGAGAAAACCAATGCTCTTGAGATGTATACTAAGGTACTCTTTATGATGCGCTCTTCCTGATGCTGATTGGCGCAACAATTTCACACTTGTTGCTATAAATTTGTTGTAAACAATACAGATCTTGTGCTCACGAACAGTATTTTCTTTCTGGTAATCTTGAGTTCCCATTTAGTTCTCCCCACAGCCTCGGATCATTCTTTTCTTACTACAGCTGATGGGGCAATTGCTCAAATCATCAAATCACAAGAACCATTTGACATTTATTGTTGTTTCTTGTGAGGCTTGACCTTTCTTATTCCTGTATACTCCATTTATGTAGTTGCATGATAAGCATCTTTATTTTGCAGGTTTCTGAGAAACTAGCAAAGCATCTCTCTAAAATTTCTGCTGTTCTTGAAAAAGTATGAATAGCGGCAAGCTTTCCTTCATGCAAGTTTTTTTTTTTCCTTTGGCTGATTGCACCCTTGAGTCAAATTGGTATAACAATGATTGTACAAATATATTATTCATGCTAGAGCGCTGCTGCTAAAGCTTCTGAGAAGGATGTTAAAGCACACAAAGAGAAGATCAATGATCAAAATTTGGAGATAAAGGCACTTCGCAATAAAGCTGCTGAATGGGAAATGAAAGGTTAGTATATTTTTAGCGTTGCTCAAGTATTATCAAGTCAGTTCTTAGTTCAAATGTTATCATCAAATTACTGTGCATGAACATCTTGCAATTAGTACTCGAGAACGAGGCCAAACTGAAAGCAAAGGAGAAAGAAAGGGATCAAAGAGTTGAAGAGAACAATCGGAAGATGACTGCATTGAAATCTGAAGTTGAATCGGAGCACAAGTGCCTTGAGGAGAAACAAAGAAAAATAAAGGAAAAGATTGACAAGGTGATGTTCTTATCCTGGATGTTCTGCTGTTGAAAAGAATCCTTTCGAAATTGCACTGCATGCCACATCCCGTCTATTGCTTTGCATGTTACCTTGAATTTGATCGATACCTTCGAGCCTGATTAGTAGCTGTGGCTCTATAAATCTAGAAGGGAAAACATAGGCTATGCATCCACTACTTCATTTCGAAAGCCTTGTAGGCTGTTGTCATCTTTTTTCTTTATTGTGCGTACCTCTTTCACATTTTCCGACATACTGTCTGCCAATCAGGGTTCTGAATTATGCTCTCAAGCCGATTCTGTTGCTGAAGCTGGAAGGAAGAAAACAGAGGAAATCTATGGGAAGTATGATCAAGTTTGTGAGGCGGTACGTCCTAGCTAGAAGCCTATTTGATTTCCTAAAAGGACACTAGTACATAAAGAACTTTGGTTTCCTTGAGGTTGTTTGCTGATAACAGCCTTTTCTCCAGGCTAAGATGTACATGGATGGCTTGGATCAATCCTTCGACGAGACTGATGAAGCTGCAGTGATGTTGAACACTATAGCCCAGAGTGGCGCTTGATGTGGTGAATTGACCATCGGGCGATGGATCGTGGACAATTAGCATAGTAATAATTGTGCTAGTGTCCGGCTTTGTGTATATATACCTGCACTGGATCGTGTCGTGTGTGGTCACTTTTGCATCTCGTTTCATGTTGTTGCTCTGATCGTGTGTGGTCAGTCAAACGCGTCTGTATTTGCTTTTTGCACCACTATTTTATTTTAATTTAACTAGTACTAGTTTGCCAGTGAAAATGGATCTGTTAACCGGTGATGAGGTCTGGATTTGCTTGGTTGCAAGTCCAAGTCGTGGAGTGGAGGGCAAATCTAAGCAACACAAGTACTGACGGGTCTCGACAATGGGTAGGCTCAACTTTAGTGACCTAGTCGTGACAAGAGCGCCAAGTTTGCATCAACTGTTTTAGTGTTAAAAATGGAGCATTGGGCGTGGCCTTACAACTTTCCTACTAGCCTCTTGGCCTCTTGGGGTAAGTTGCTTTTAATTTTATTGACTTAAAGAATATAGGGGAAAAAACAACTTAAAATCCAGAACTCATTATAAAAAACATACGGAAACGCTATACGTCAACCGTATGATTTATTTGCCACTGTCAACTGAATTTTCCAGCGTTGGATCTGACTCCGGCCCGAGAGCTGCCGCCCGATCTACCGCTCAACCTATGCCCTTGACGTTGGATCTGATCGATCGCGTTTTGTCTCATCTCTGGGTGGACTTGCAGATGCCACAACACGTGTGCGGCCGAGTGACGATTCCTCGCCGCGACCTCATCGGCGATGATGATAAAGCAACAAGAAGAACTCATGCCGCCAGCCAACAGATGTGGCGCGTTACCATATCTCTCAAGACCGGAGGTTTAGGACGCTATGCCTTCCCGGTGTCGTCATCGTTTACGGCATGGCAAATAATTCGCATTTCGAAATTTTGTGAAGATTTTGTTTTTTTTTAATTTTGTGAATAATTTGACATATATTTCTTTGATGTCTGGAATCCATAGAAATAATTTGTATTTTTTTTGAAAAATTTGACATATATTTGTGTTATTCGCAACTTACATCACTCTGTCTAATAAATTACACTGAAGAAATCATTGTAAATATAGTAATAAGACTATGTAAATATAGCTAGAAAACATTGTAAGTGTATGGGAAAAATTCAGTTGACCGGAGAGACGAAAACACCACTTACAGTTTGAAACCAAAACAACTTATTGTTTGATAGAGGTTAGTGTAGTCTTATAATTTGGATTCAAGTTAGTACAAAAGCAAGGTTGGATTGAAGTTAGTATATATAAGCAAGGTTGCATTGCAACTGAGATATCCATGAAACTGTGTATAAATCACAATAGACTTCAAATATATGTTTGTGTTGATCGTGTGTTCAACAGAGGAAATCAAAGATTGAATGTGAGTACTAGACAAGGCTCCATATCCTCTAAGCCTTCCTGGGTTGAATTTATTTTGTGGCCCATGTGAAATCGGCCTGCTAGCTGCCTGGCCGGTATCAGCTAGGGTTCCACCCTTACCGTATAAAGCCTTCCTACCGCGCCGCCACGTCGCTCTCTTCTCTGGCCATTCCTCGTCTCGCTCGCTCGCCGCCGCCGCCTTCGGGTTTGCTCGCCAGCTGCAGCCATGGTTTGTCTCTGTCTGCGCTTCTGGTTTTCTCCTTTTTTTGCTATGGTAGTATTCTGATCCATCTTCTCGGTTGTTGACAGGTGAAGTACTCGAGGGAGCCGTCCAACCCCACCAAATGTAAGCATCTTCCACTCTTATACTGTCTTCAATTCGTCTGTCTACCCCTTGTACAAAGGCTATCTTGATACGGAAGCTGATGATCCTTTCTTTTTGTTTTTCCAGCCGCCAAGGCTATGGGTCGGGACCTGCGTGTGCACTTTAAGGTGAGTTATTGAACAAATGAAGATTTGATCTCTGCAAATAAGTACTAGTATGTTCTATTCTGTACTGTAAACTTCTGTTTTTCTGCTTGTGCGTGAAGTTAGACATCTCAAATTTCTAGTTTAGGTGTCCGTTAGGTTATTTTTGAGCTATTGATCATAGCCACTGGTTTAGCAAATGATAAAGTTAGCAGTATGTATGATGTATCGCTTCTCAAATAGCTTCGATTTGAGTAGATTTGAGGATGCAAATACATTTAGGAACGATTAATCTTTAAATTTTGTATGTGTATCTCTCTCCCCTTGTCACAACTCAATAGTGTTGCATGGGTAATGGCCTTGGTTTTTTAATTAATTAATAGGAAGGGGAAAAAAAGCACGCAGTTCTATTCCCTAGACAATATTCTTATAAACCTTAGGAGAGTTGCACTTGATAATATTTGGCGACCATTTGGGCGAACTGTGATCTCTGGTCGTGTGAATCATTGATCAACTAATGAATGGTGATTTCTATACTTTTTGGAGAAACTAATGGGACTGCAGGCATTTTTTGTATCCTATTTCTTTTTGTAACCTGTGTCAAATTTCTAACTAATTTAATTAGTTGGAAACCCTTGTGGTTTTATCTTACTGAATACATGTTGGTAATATTTTTGCACTCATTTTGTTCAGAACACACGTGAGACAGCTTTTGCCATCAGGAAGCTGCATCTCGCCAAGGCTAAGAGGTATCTTGAGGATGTGATTGCCCACAAGCAAGCCATTCCCTTCCGTAGGTACTGTGGCGGTGTTGGACGGACAGCACAAGCTAAGTCTCGCCACTCCAATGGTCAGGGACGTTGGCCTGCCAAGTCTGCTAGGTTCATTTTGGATCTTCTCAAGAATGCAGAGAGCAATGCTGAGGTATGTTATCTTGCCTCATTGTGTGAGCTTTCCTTGTTGCATACTGCATGATTATTCAATGTATTTGTTTTCCTCCTGTAGGTTAAGGGATTGGATGTCGATACACTTTATGTGTCGCATATTCAGGTGAACCAAGCTCAGAAGCAGCGGCGCCGGACTTACCGTGCTCATGGGCGCATCAACCGTGAGTTCAAATTATATATCGTATTGGTCTTTGTATCACTCGTTTATAGTATTGGAGTGTTCTCATGCCCATGATTATGTCCCACAGCGTACATGTCTTCCCCATGCCACATTGAGCTGATGCTTTCAGAGAAGGAAGAGCCAGTGAAGAAAGAGGTATGCTCTTTTAACAGAACTTATTTTTCTAGCGTAACATTTCTTTGTTTGAACTCGCTGAGCGACAAACTGACAATTGATGCCCATATTTATGCTCTGTAGGCTGATACCCAAATTGCACCCAGGAAGGCTTAGAAGATATGAAGCCTTGTCTAGTATCAGTTAGAGTGAACCGATCGCCTGTATCTCCTTTTTTTCTGTACTGTTGGTGCATTTCATCTATCCCCAGAGTGGAACATTTCTTTCTGCAGTTGTGACGACATCCCCAGAATGAGAATGTTGCCTCAGTAGTAGATTTACTCATTTATAATCCTACTAAACTACCTTGGTGATGGATTTTGTACAATCGTTAATCTCCTTGACTAAGAGCGATCTTTTGGTCAGCACATCATATACATGAGAGTATGACATATAATTTCCATACTGTGCCTACATCATACGGTTAGGTGAATTGCACTTTAGCATTATACGTGGCTATGAGGATATCTCATAGGGGGACTGTTTTGAGTTTTGACGATGCAGTTCAAGCATGATTTCAGATGCATGTGTCAACGCCACCGCATCCTTAATCCAGTAGTCCTATCCTTAACAAAGGTGTTGGAAAAGTGTTGTTTGGATTTTGGAATTCCAGGTACCTGAGATGTCGGGTACTATTTCCTTAAGACAAATTTCCGATATCAGCTTTGGGCCTTGTTTAGATTGTAATTTTTTTGTAATCTGGACACTGTAGCACGTTTCGTTTGTATTTGACAAACTTTGTCCGATCATGGACTAACTAGGCTCAAAAGATTCGTCTCGTGATTTACAACTAAACTGTGTAATTAGTTATTTTTTTACCTACATTTAATGCTTCATGCATGCGTCCAAAAATTGATGTGATGGAGAGAGAGTGAAAAAACTTGGAATTTTGAGGCAATCTAAACAAGGCCTTGGTAACCCAAAATTTATGCAAACATGAGTTACCTGACTTTCCCCAAAATTTATGCAAACATGAGTTACCTGACTTTCCCCAAAATTTATGCAAACATGAGTTACCTGACTTTCTGGATGACCCGAATGCTCACCCTGGCTTCTAGCTATTGTTGGATTGACCTAGCATAGCATTGTGAAATTGTGGTGCCTGCTCCGTTAAATTTAGTAGTTTACCAAAAATCTAAAATTGAGTCATCTAGCTGCTCCAGCCTGGAGAAGCGGAGACGCCAAAGAAGTAAAAAAAAAAAAGCTTTGGCGTGGCAGGAAGGCCTGATTTTTGCTGTGGGTTGGTCGTTGGTGTAGATAGTGTGCCATTCTTGAGACGGATTGCAGTATAACGGATGCTATCATGACAATGGCAAGGAAATTTTTTGAAATAATATTATTTTAATAATAAATTATAGATCTATAAGCTGTAATAATAAAATTATAGATTTAGATATCAATCGCGAACTAGAAGCCGATGAAAGTCTAATCAGCGTTCCAGGAGACGATACGAACCTGTCGGCGTTTGGATGGCCGATAGAGGCCTCACATAGTACGGGCATCCGTACACGTGGGTGTTATCATTGCCGATAGAGTAATCGGCATTCCAGGGGCGATATCTCCCCAGCCACATACGGCCACACGCCATTAGTGGATGATGTGTTTTTTCTTTCTTTTTCTATGGTCGGTTATTTATTGGTAGTTAGATAAAAATAGTATATATTTTAGGCACATATTTAATATGTATAGGTATTTAGGTATTCAGAAGATGTAGAATCATAGTTGCTTAGTCAGAAAAAATTACTTTATTTGTTCCATAAATTTGCTATAGGAAACTCTTCAATGGCGGTATTTGCTGATGGACATCACTCAATGTTGTCTTTGCTAAATTTTTAAACCATGAATTTAAATGATTTTAATTTTTAGGTTATCTTAGGTCTAAACAGCTTACTCGAAAACTTAAATATGGAATTACAGAAGAAAATATTCCATCACTCCTAAAATAAGTGATTCTCATTTCTCAAGAAGTCAAACAATTTTTAATTATAGATCTGAGTATTGTAATAGATATAGAAATTATAATTTTACAAAAGGGTATGTCACTGTGGGGGGTTATAACCCCAGGTACCCATGACAATGAACATGGGCTGCACCGCAAGGGGAGGTCCAGCCCATAAGATCAAGGCCTATGGTGCTCGGCTCTGGTTGGCGTGCACCGCAAGGCAATCAGAAGACATCTTGGCGATGAAGGAAGATCTGTTCGGATATGATAGATATCGTATTCCTTATAAATACTTACCATATAGCTAAATAGATCTAGACTTAAACCGACCTGTAACCCTACCCTCCATACTATATAAGGTGGGTAGGGACCCTCTCGAATGCATCTCATATTCAATACAATTCACCGAAGACACAGAACGTAGGGTATTACGTCGATCAGATGGTCTGAACCTGTCTAAACCGCTTATCTCTGCGCTTGTGTCGCCATCCGACTCCTATCACGCGCACCTCCACCGATTCATCTACTACCGTGGGTATACCCCTCGGTAGACTGCCGACCAGATTTCGTCGACAGTGGAGCGCCAGGTAGGGGGTGTGCGTGCTGATTCCATGACGAGCCAGATGGTCCGCTTCCCGAGCTCCATGATCCTTCCTGAGCCAGGTCAAACCTTCACGGTCGACTCTATGACCTGGGTCATCGGCGCCGACGGCGTCGAGGAAATCGTGGAGGCAGTGTAGAATCATCCTACGCCGATCGTGCCAACATCTACAACGACATCTCTGATCTCGGCGCCTCTCCGCTGGGTTAGGAGATCCATCAACAATGAAGATCTGATCGCATCCATCGATCGGGTCACAGACCACTTAGCGGAATGCCAACTCCTCATGGATTTGGTCTTAGATCAATCTAGAGCGAGCGACGAAGTTCCTGCACTCCAAGGTCACCATGACACTAATGCCGAGCACCCTGCTCATGCACATCGTCCGAGGTGGCAAGATGAAGATTTGGTGATCACGGCAACTCCAGAAGGGCGTACCGTTCAACGCCGACCACTCCCTGCCCCGATGGAGAACATGCCGAGGCCCTATTCTTTTGGGCTGGTGGGTGCGGATCCGATCTGTCGGGACACCCTGCACTATCTTTTCATCGACCACACCAAGTGCAGCTATGTCAATGACCTCTACCAGATCGACCTCCCTGAGGCCAACCAGCCTACGCCAACGGTAAACATGGTGAAAATCCGGTAGCTTTTGGATGACACGCTCCATACAATCCTAGAGGAAAGCTCCGAGCCATACTCCGAGGGCTCCACCAGCAACTGCCCACCTTTCCCTCCAGGCTTTGGGAGAGAGCTTTTTATGGTTAGCCACGACAGCGTTGCTATCGATGGAGAAACCAGTGTCCAACGCCGTGAGCGCGAAGCCAAGAACGCTTATTGCCAACGACGTCGCAATGAAGAAGCAGAAAATGTTGCCCAAGCTGCCAGAGGTGACCCGCCACCTCTCACTCGTAATCTCCAACAAGAGTTCCTCATGGTGGACAACCAGCAAGTGGAGCAGACGCCGAGCACCAATCTAGCTGTGGCCACCCATGAGCTGGCTAGACTCCCACCAACACCGGATGTACTCAAGATTCAAGCGCTGCTTAAAGCAGCTCAGGTCCAGGTCAACGACATCCGAAACCCAGTTTCATCTTTTTCGACCGCATCGGCTTGTAGTCGAGACCCCCGTGGCTCTCGCCACGAGGGGGAAGCCATTATCATAACGGCCAGATCATCCAAGGGGGGTCCAGGGGAAATGTTGCTATCAACCCTGGATCACAAGGACCACAAAATCAACGTGGCCGACCAGCTCGTGACGCCAACCAGGAGGTTAATCAACCCCCGCGCGATGACGCCCATGACCGTATCAACGCCAATCTTGATGCTCGCCATCGCATCGAGAACAGTCATGCCCAGCGGCATCGGGTAGAACTCCAACGCCGATAGTAGTATGACGACCAACACGGTAACCCCATCGACCTCCGACCACTCCCCGTTGTTGAGCCGACGGGACCTCGACCCTTCACAGCAAGGCTATGAGCTGTACAGTGGCCCGCAGGCTTCAAGGTTTTTGGGGTCGATCCCTACGACGGCATGGCTAATCCTGAGCAGTGGATGCAGCTCTATGAGATCACCGTACGTGCCGCCGGGGGAAACAACGACGTAATGGCAAACTATCTGCATGTTATACTCCTCCAATCTACCAATAATTGTCTTATGGGCTTGGGGGAGGACTCCATCGAATCTTGGGATGATCTTAAGAGAGTTTTTATCAAGAATTACATGGCAACGTGTCAGCAGCCTGGCATGAAGTATGATTTGGAGAAACTCCATCAGACGTCTGGGGAACCTTTGTGAAGCTACATCAGGCATTTCTTGGAAACAAGGAACACCATCCCCAACATCGGGGACAGTGAGGCCATCTCCGCTTTCTCCAGAGGACTCCATCACCATCAGGAGCTACGCTCCAAACTTCACCTCAAGAGGCCCTAGACCATCGGCGAACTCCTCAAGGTTGCAAACTCATACGCAGACTCCGAAGAAGCTGATCGGTAGTTCAAGGACGACATTGCTCTTGCTTCCTGCTCAAATCATCACCCACGTCGTGATGATGATCACCGCAAAGAACGATGTTATGAGGATCACGACAGGCGCTGCGATGATCGTGAACGCCATCATAATGATCGGCCAGAGGGATCAAGGGCTACACAGCCACATCGCCGCCGACTGGAAAACTTCATCAACAACATAGAACAGCCACGCGCTAAGCGCAATTTCAATGTTGCCTACGAAAAGCTCCTTGATGGTCCGTTGAAAGGTCCTTGTGTGGTTTTGGTAATTGAGTGACAACCCTAGGTGGACTAATTGTGTTTATGTGAGATACACAGGTGATTAGTCCATAGGTATATGTGTATGAGCAACATATGCCATGAAGGTTGAAATGGCTCAGAGATGTTGCAAAGCTCATACATGTGATGATGAAGGAGCTCATTGCACATGAGACATGACATTGAGTCATGTGATCAAGGTGGAGAAGATCAAGACAAGACTTGGCTTGATAGACTGGTTGCAAGCATGAAGGGCAAGTCAGACGCTTTGGAGTGATGGACCGCGTGGCGGTGAAGCTTGAGC